AAAAAAAAAAAAAAAATCCTGGTGTGTTTCAATACACAGAACCATAAACGTGCCTCTGCTCAGGCGATGTGCCCATGGTGGAGGCCACAGGATGGCTCTTTACCACACTCACGGTGCCCTATGGGGTGACTGTACTGATGGCCCACATGCTGCTGGGTCCCACAGCTTGCAGCCCCAGGGCCAATAGCGTCTGGAAGGGCAGTGGGCACTGCAGAGGCAGGGGCACCAGGGGAGACCAAGGCCTTTGGGATCAGCTGACCAGAAGCAGATCAGAGTGATCTTGCACCTATGACACCTTCAGGTTAGGTGTGGAAACCACTACTCAGGAAAGTGACATTATGAAAACCATTTTAGAAAGATTTCTACTGGAAAATTTAAATAAAAAACACAACACATACGGAGGGAAGATCTGGTCATCTGAGTACAGAGCAAATCGCATCCTGCAGTGCTGCATACACAAAGATGCCATGCCACCCCTAGGGGATGGGACAGTGAGCCAGGACTCGAGGACAGGACGGGACAACAGGGACCTGCATGTCACAAAAGAGGTGTGTGTGTGCCCACACGCAGGTTGCTAACCATCCCCGGGCACTTGCTGGGGTGAAGCAGGGACCAGCAAGCCAAGTCACCAGGCCAAGTCTGGACCTGGACACAGCTGCAGAAATGCTCCTTGAGGCCCAGGGTCGGACACAGATGCAAGGTCAGAAGTATCTGCCCCTGGCAGTCTGCCATGCTCCATGCCCACCCCACGGTGCCTGGGGACCCAGAGGATGGCAGCATCGGCAAAGCCACAGAAACAGTGGAGCCGGGACAAGGGAACAACATGTGCAGTCAACCAAGAAACTCCATATTCAGTGAAAATTGCCCTTTAAAATCAAGACAAACTAAAGATAATCAAAGATGAACAAAAACTAAAAAGTGCCAGCTGCGGTGGTACACACCTGTATACCAGCACACTGGAGGCTGAGGCATGAGGATCATACGAGTTTGAGGCCAGGAAGACCCTGCCTCAAGCAAGCAACTGACCAACCAAACGACCAAACAAAAAACCAAAACCACCCAAAACTGAATGATCTCATTGTTAGCCAACTTTCCTACAAGAAATTAAAAAATACTTCAGGTTGAAAGGAAGTAACAGTAAAAAGTAACAAAAAAGATGAAAAGCACTGGAAAGGGTAATAATATAAGACAAGCATTTATGTGTGTATTTCCCCAAGAGGTTTAAGGAATAATGAGAAGACAATGTTGTTGGGTTACAACACGTGGAAATTACAGATATTATATAGGTGGGAGGAGTATCTCTGTTTCACTGGAATGAAGTCAGCACAACCTCAAGTATACTGCTGTAAGTTCAAGATGTATACTGTAGCCTGTGTTAGCTTCTCATTGCTGTGACAGAATACCTGAGAAGATCAACTTAATGGAGTGCAGATGCACCTCAGCTCATGGTTTCAGAGGTCTTTATCCATGGTCACGTGACTCTGTTTTTCTGGGCCTGTGAAGAGGTGAATGTGGCAGAGGGCAAAGTGGAAGGAGCTGCTCACCTCATGGCAGCTAGCAAGCAGGAAGCAGAGAGGGAGAGGAAGAGGGAGAGGCAGGGGAGGCCAAGGACAAGAGAAACCCTTCAGGGGCACATGCCCAGTGACTCCCTTCCTCTGCCAAAGCCCCACCAGCCAGGGATCAGGCCTTGGACACAGGTGCCTCCGGGGACATCCCAGGTCCACACTGTAACATAATCCTAGAGTGCTCACCGAGACAACAGTGACAGTGAAATACAACGGAGGAACAGGAGCGTGTGCTTGTCTGCTTGGGCTGCCACAACAGAACAGCACGGACTGCGTGTTGTAGGCAAGTGCAGTTGAATTTTCCACACTTGTAGAGACTGAGAGTCCAGGCACAGGTGCTGGCTGGTTTGGTTTCTGGTAAGAACCTTCCTCCTGGTGTGCAGGTGGCAGCACCCTTACCGTGTTCTCACACGACACTGTTTCTGTTTGGTGCTGAGTAAGATTCAGAGCCTGTGTGCACTCTGGGCAGGAGCTCTACCGTTGAGGCCTCAGCCCCAAGACCTTTGTGTGCATGTAGACAGAGCAACAAGCAAGCTCTCTGGTGCCTCTGCCTTTAAATAAAAATTATGATAAATGCACATAACATAAAAGTTACCACGTTAGCCATTTTAAGCATACAGTTCAGAGGTATTAAACACATCCAGAATATTAAGCATTCACCACCCATCTCTGTAATTTACCATTTTGCGAAACAGAAAAATAACCCCCTCTCCTCTCCCCAGCCCCAAAACCCACCATTCTACGGGCTGCCTCCGTGATTCTGACTGCCCAGGGGAAGCACATGTACTTGTCCTTTTATGACTGGCTCATTTTTTCTGATAATATCTTCAAAGTTCACCTGTGCTGTAAATGTGTCAATTCCTTTTTTCTTTTCTTGTGGCACTGGAGATTGACTGCAGGGCCTTCACATAGAGCTTTAGCCCCGGCCCTTGTTTTATTTTGAGAAAGGGTCTCACTAAACCACTCAAGCTGGCCTTTAACTTGTGGTTCTCCTGCCTCAGCTTCCCAGAGCGCTGAGATTGCAGGCCTGGGCCACAATGTCCAGCTCAGAATTTCCTTTTAAAGGCACGATAATGCTCCATTTTATTACATACCATGGTGTGTTTGCTCATTCATCTGTGGGTGGACACCTGAGTTGTTTTCATGCTCTATGAACTTGAGTGTACAAATATCCCCAAGGCTCAGCTTTCCGTTCGTCTGGGTTTCCAGAGAAGTGGAACTGCTGCAACCTACGGGAGTTCCAGCCTTAACTTCTTGGGGAACAACCATTCCACTTTCCGTAGTGTCTGCGCTAATTTACAATCCTACCAATGTGTAAAAGAGTTCGAATTTCTCTCCACATTCTCACCAACACTTATTTTCTGATTTTAAAGAGTGGTGACTTGTACTCGAAGGACTAGTGAGGTTATCTATTTGTGTGCTTATTGGCCACTTGTATTTGCCCGTCCAAGTCTTTTGCTCATCTCCAAATTGTTTTTGTTGTTGAGTTTTAGAAGTTTTTTATATATGCTGGATCTCAATCTCTCATCAGATTTACAATTTGCATGTATTTTCACCCCTCCTTTGGGTTACCTTTTTACTCTACTGATAGCGTCTTTTATTGCACAAAATCTTCAAATTTTCATAATTTTCAGTTTATTTATTTTTTCCTCTGTTGTCTGTACCTTTGATGATACATTAAAAAAATGAGTGGCAAATCCAAATGGCTTGGAGATTTTGCCCAATGTGGTGTTCTAAGGGGTTGTAGTTTTAGTTTTTAGTTTTTTTTCATTTTGAGTTAATTTTTCTACAGCGTTAGATAAGCATATATAATAATAATAATAATAATTACAATTATTATTATTATTATTAGCAGTAGTAGTAGTAGTAGTATTGGGTGAGGACATGGGTTCAATTTCCAGTACTGCAAAAGCAAATGAAAAAAAAACTTCCAACATTAATTATGGTGTTGGCCTGTAGGTTTTCTAAAGATCCTATTTCTCAAGTTGAGGAAATGCTCTTTTACTCCATTTTTGTTGATACTTTCTACCATGCACAACTGTAAAGTTTGGCAAGTTCTTTTCTTATTGAAAAGATTTTAAGATTTTATTGTACTTTAGTCTATTAACATAGTTTATGGTGTTAACTGACCTTCTGATGCCAAGTCAACATGAATACCTTGGTTGAACTCCACCTGGAAATGGTGTGAAACACCTTTTATATGTTGTTAGATTTGATTGTCAAATGTATTTTTAAAGAATTCTGCATTTATACTCAGGAAGAACACTGGCATGGGTTTTCTTTTGTGTATTCTTCAGCTTTGTTACAGGGCCATTACTAAGCCCATAAAAGGAACTGACAAGAACCTGATCTATTTCCCAAGTTCATTCAAGTTTTTCTTTAAATGTTTGAAAGAACTGACCCATGAAACAAACCATTGGGAAATTGGCTTTTTCTGAAAAATTACCAATTCAACTTCACTTGATAGGTGTTTATCTAGATTTATTCTTTCTTCTTGACTCAATTTTGATAATTTCATCAAAGAACCAACTCTAGGTTCCATTAAGCATCTCTCTTGGTTCTATCTGTTCTGTTCGCTTGGCAACTTGAGCTTACTGAGTTCAGAGTATCCTTTCTATTTTGTTTTTTACTTTATTCTATTTAAAAGTTTCTGTTAGTACATTTTCAGTACACGCTGATTACATTCCTCACAGGGAGTTGGTACACATACATAACACATCTTAATTCTTTCTTATGGACCCTTCCTCTGCACTCCCTCCATTTCTTAGTCCCCTTCCTATTTTCAAAAGATCTATCCCCAAGAACTAAAGCTATAAATATGGCTTTTCTTGCAGAATGTAAACTTGACATATATTTTCATTCAGTTCAAGATATTTTCTAATTTCTTTTGATTTTTTTTCTTTGACCCATGGATTAGTTTGAAGTGTTATTTGCTTTATTCTCAGATTTTTTCTGTTGTTCATTTCCAATTTAATCTCACAGTGGTCAGGGAATGCACTTTGTATGATCCTAATCCTTTAAGATGTGTTGGGAGTTATTTTATGTTCTAATATCCAGTCTGTTCTAAAGAATGTCTCATTTGCAGCCAAAGAAAATGTTTTTCTGCTCTTGTTGGGTGGTGTCTATATTTGTCACATAAGCCAATGTGATCAAAAGTGCTGCTGAAATCTTCTATTTTCTTAGTAATTATCTATCTAGTTGTTTCATACCCAAATCATGATTGTTGAATGAATGATTTCTTTTTACTTTCATCAATTTTGCTGCATCTATTTTCAGGCCCTCTTTTGGTGTGTTTACATTAAAAACTATCATGTCTTCCTAATATATTGATCCTTTTGCCATCATGAAATGTCCTTGTATCTAGCCATAAGTTTTGTCTTGAAACCTGGTGAGCCTGATATGAGTAACAGGTACTTCAGTACTCTGTTGCTATTCCTCGATGTATCTGCTCTATAACTTCCTTTCAGCCTATCATGCCTTTGAAGTGTTATTTCTTTTTTTTCTTTTTTTTTTGGTACCGGGGTTTGAATTTGGGTCCTTGCACTTGCAAGGCAGGCCACCGAACTGCTGAGCTAAATCCCCTGCCCTGAAGTGTTATTTCTTGTAGACAGCATCCTGGTAGATCTCTCTTTTATACCAGCTTGACAATCTGTGCTTGTTTACTATAGCCTTTAATGTGCTCTATTACATGCTAATATTGATGATGGACCTGTGTCTGCCACTTTGTTGTTTTATGTATGTCTCATAATTTTTGTTCCCACTTCCTTTTACAACTTTTATTGTGAGCTGTTTTATTATCTCTTACAAAAGAGCATGGAAATTTCAAAACAAAATTGTTGAGCTGCTTTTTTTCCTTCTAATTTGTAATTTTTGCTTTGTGTATCTGAGGCCCTGGCAAGGATGCTGAGCCCCAGGAGTCACTCATGGCTGTGGAAACACAAGATGGCATAGCACTTTGTCAGGCAGCTTGGCAGTTTCTTCCCAAACAAAATTTGTTCTTGCCACAGGTTCCAGGAGTAACTGTGGTCCTCAATATTCACCCACAGGACTTGAAGGCTTGGGTCCACATGAAATCTGAAATGGCTATCTATACCAGGTTTTTCATAATGGCCAAAACTTAAAAACAACTGAGATGCCCATCAGTAGGTGAATGAATAAACTATGATGCACCCAGATGATGAAATATTAGTGTCCAACACTAGAAAGAAGGAAGCTCAAAAGCCATGAAAAGAGATGGAGAAACCATAAGTGCGCATCACTCTGAGGAAGAGGTCCCTGCAGAGGCTCCGTGCATGTGTGCAGCTGGATGACCTTCTGGAAAAGGCAACTGTGGAAACAGTGGAAAAGCCAGTGTTTCTGGGGGAGGAAGGGGTGAGAGTGGAGCGCAGAGGACTCTCAGGGCAGTGAACGTCCTCCATGACGCTGTGGCCATAACACGCACGCATCCAATGACAGACTTGGAGGACAGTGTGGTGTGGACACAGCTGCATCTGCTACAGTAAAGTTTATCCTGTGGGGGCACTGTGATGGGGGAGGCTATAAACACATAGGGGCAGGAAATATGTGGGAAATTTCCTTTCACCTCATTTTACTGCGAACATAACACTGCTATAAAAAATGAAGTCTGTGGAAACCACCAAGGAGATACAATTTAGTTATGCAAAAAACCTACCTCAGCACAAAAACCCATGAAATAAAAAAGAGTATAGATTTGAGTACAAAAACATTAAGCTTCTTTTTCTTTCTTTCTTTCTTTTTTTTTTTTGTACAGTATCAGGGATTGAACCCAGGGCCTTTGCACTGAGCCACATTCCCAGATCCTTTACTTCGTATCTTAGAGGCAGGGCCTACTGAGTCACTCGGTTATTCAGTCTGGGCTCCAGTTTATGATCCTTCTGCTTCATCCTCCCAGAGTGGGATTCCAGGCATGTGCCATTACACCTGACTAAAAATGCTGAATTTCCCTTAAAAAAAAAAAATTGAGACAGGGCCTTGCTATATAGTTTAGGCTGGTCTTGAACTAATTATGTAGCCCAGGCTGGCTTTGAACTTGTGTCTATCCTCCTGCTTCAGCCTCCTGAGTTCTGGGATTACAGGCATGTGCCATCAGCCTGGCTGAAAATGCTCAATTTCTAAAAGTGAAATACAGACTAACAAAGCAAACTGGATAAAAGATCAGTATCTTTCACATTAAGGATGTCACAGGCACAAAGAACAAAAGACAGAAACAGGTAAATCAGAAAAAGAACAGGAGATGAATAGAACTGAAACACTCAGATCATTAACAGTCACAAGAATGAAAACCAAAATGATGTTTTCCTCCCAAACCGCAGGCACAGAACACAGCAGACACTGCTGAGAAGGCGCCGAGGCAGTACTCAGCCTCTGGGCTGTGCGGGCCAGGCTCCTGCACAGCTTCTCAGCACACAGAGAGCTCTGGTCCCCAGAGCGTGGGGAGGGCCCAGCAAGAACAGTGTCTACGGACACCTGAGGCAGTGAGCTGGGCAGGGTGGTCCCCAGGAGCCCAGAGTAGCTAGAAGTCCCATGAGAACTTGACACGGGGGGAAGCAACCTGTTCAAGCTGCTGGTGACACAGGGCAGGCTGGGGACGTCAATCAGAGCTCTGCTCTTTCAGCAAGCCCTGGGACAAGGCCACAGGCCCTGAGTTGGGCTCTTAGGAGGGCTCCTACACTGGAGTGGAGGGAACAGGAGGGACAGAAGGGAGCCCACAGAGAGGTATGGGGCTGGGGCACTCAGGACAGGAACAGTGGGAAGCCCACAGGGAGGGAGACTGAGGCCTGGAGGGCTCACCAAGCCTGGATCTGCAGGGAAAAGGATTACACCCACAGGCAAACTCAGCCACACAACTTTTGATTAAAACTGTAAGAGCTCCCATCTCCTGTGAGCTTCACCCTGATGGCCCCAGTGCTGTACAACCTGGTGCTCAGGGCAGCTCGGCCTCACTGGGAGAGTCCGGCAAATCTGATTATCACAGCTTTCAGAGGATGCATGTGCACTAATGCATGGATTTGAGTGAGGTTACAGAAACATCACTTACCCATGCGCCCATCCTGAGGCGGACTAATCACGGAGATTCTCACAGGGCCCACCGCAACCTCAGGCTAAGCACATGAAAGAAAACAGCTGGTGAGATTTCTACTCTGCCCCTTTGGGGTCAGAATCCACTGTTCATTAGAAACCCATCTTGGGAGCTCCTCCTCCTTAGCCCTCCTCACCCTGGCAGAGTCCCGTCTGCCCTGGATCCATGTGTACACAAGTCCCACTGGCGGACATGGGTAGGATTCCTGATTCTTCCCTGTCTCACCAGGTCCTGTGACACTGAGTGGACACAGGACCCAGCAAGTGTTTTTCAGGAATTCGGGAGAGGAAGGCAGGCAACACATTACCCCAAGAGACACCCTCCTGGTAAAGCAGACTGTGCTGGCCTCCTGCACCCCCTTTTCCCCGCTCGAGCACTTCGAGACAAGGCTGCCACTAACTCTGTGTGACTGACTGCAGCTGTGAGCCCCCACTCTACATGACCTGAGGTATTTGGGGACCACAGTCTCTGCTGGTCACTCATCAGCCCCTGCCCATGGCTGGATTCCTGGCCTGGAATCTCACCTCCCCACCAGGCCTAGACTGCCACTGCCACACATGCCTGCCAAGTTCTCAGTGCCACCTTCCCTGGTATGCCACTGACAGACTCTGTGACCCATAGGCAGGTCCACCCTGGGAAGCCTGTGTCCTTGGGGGGCTCCACTGTGACCCCTGGACGCTGCCTTGCTGGTCCTGCACATTGATTGTGAAGGGACTGGTCCATTCCAGAATCCAGCCTGGCAGCTGATGCAGATACTGCTGAGGACAGGGGTTCCCTTCCTGTGACACAGCCTCCGTGGCACTCGAGGACACAAAGGACATCCCTGCTTGGGCAGGTCTGGGTGCTCTTCCCACCTGTCAGGAGTGGGTGTATTCCAGGGACTCTGGCTCCTTCCTAGGGTTTGCAGTACCTTTCTCACAGTTCTCAAAGAGAAGTCCACCAACCCCTTCTCAACTTGGAGCTGACCTCTCTGAGAGTGGCTGGCTTCCAGGTGTCCTTGGGCCTGGCTGGTTTTTCCCTTTCTCTGGAGCCCCCACCTTGCTGCCCACCAAGCCCAAGGGCTCAGGAGTCTGAGTCCGCAGTATGCCCCGTGTCTCCAACAGGTCTGGGACTAGATAGTGACCCACGAGAAGACCCACAGCTCATGCCCAGCAGTCCTTCCAGCCATTGCACAGCCACGGCTAGGTGTGCACTCCCATGAATGTCAGTGCTCCAGTAGGTTACTGGAAGTTCCAAAGAAGAGCTTGGGATGAGCCTCAGAAAGGCTCATAGGCTGTTTGTGGGTCTGTGCTGGAGCCCCACCTGGGGGAGAATATGGGAATAGCTATAGCATGAGTTTGGAGAGGCTAATGGGCCACACAGAGGGAGTTTGATCGGTGGCCCTGGGGCTCACTGTGGCAAAAGTGGAGGTAGGCACCTGAGGAGGGGCTGTTCTCTGCTAGCCCTCATCTCCGGTCTGGGCTTCTGGAATATGATGTCGCGCCCCTGGGCTTGTATAGGAGCTGCCACCTCGGTCTGGGATGCTGGCAGCTGTACCAGACTGTGACCAGGCTTCCAAGGCCTCTCTGCTCCATTGGTCATGCAGGGGGCACAGTGGCAGAGGCCACGGCAGTACCTGGGTAGCACGGAGGTGCTCAGTGGGAAGCACAGCACTTCTTGGCCCTATGATTGTGCCGACCTCCAAGGGGAGGCACAGCAGCTTTTCCAAATCCTCTTTTCTCACAGTAATCTCCCATGTCTCCACACAAAGAGGAAGAACCAGCACACAGCATCACCCACCCCGGTGCCCTGCCTGGGGCCACACTTCATTGTGACACCTGCTGGGTTAGAGCCAGGACAGCAGGCTTGGCTCATGGGACATAGTCAAAATACTCTATTTTCTCCCCTCTAGTTATAGCTTGCTCGCTGGACATTTCTTGCCATGAACATATGCTCCAAGAATGCCAGTGTTTTGCTGTCAGGAGGAAGGCACAAGAGCCCTGTGGGTTTGAGGTGTTCCTCAATGAAGCATCTCATCCCAGGCCAGGCAGCAGACGGGACCACTGGAGCCTCCTGGGCTTTGGCCTTGTGTTCTCTCTGATCTGCAGCTGTGTCCTTCTCCTTTTCAGTCTTCACATTTCCAACCCACTTCTTTTTCTGGGCTGACAGGGTTTCTGTTTTCCTCTGGCCCCTGGTACTGCTGCTCCCGCTGCGCAGGACCCTGCCACCCTCCCCATGGCCATGGGCCTGGCTGTCCAGGCAGAATACAGCATTCCTGAGGGTTCTCTGGGGGTGAGTTTAGAACTCACATGTGTGCAGAGGCACTGCTAGAGGTCAGTCCACTGTTAAGTGACCAGGTCTGTTTATAAGCACTAAGGACAGCTAAGCTCTAGGCGTGTGACACAGGACACAGCACAGTGGCAGCACAGAGGTACTTACTTTCCTCACTGGGGAAGGAGTAAGGTCAATCTCCATTGACTCCACCCTGTCAAACAGCGAAATGCGTTAATTTGGCCTATGAATTAACTATAACTAAAAACATCAGTTAAGCACACTGTACAAAGCAAGACATGTGTATCTGAAGCCTCCTTCTTCTTTTGTGCTGTCATCAGGGTGTGGTTGTTACACCGACCATTTCCTGCAAGCTACTGGATGCCCTCTGTCTGTGCAATCAAAGCACCTTGCAAAGCATGGGACCTGGCACTCCCTGTGCCAACCCAGCTCCCAGCTCATCCAGCTCCCCGCTGGACCCACAATACTAGATCCCGCCAGCAGGAACATCACTTGTTCTGGTTAATATGACTTCCTGGACCTTACATTATACTGCTAGTGCTGGACCTGGGTTGGTCCTTTGTTTGCCCAAAGGTGGACAGGGAAACACCCATGGGCCTGTCTTCTCCCAGCCCTCCTCAGCCCAGAGGTGACCTCAGAGCAGAGAGCCCTCTCTTCCAACAGCTCCAGCAGTCCAAGGACGGCTCTGATGACCCAGCCCATGTGTAGTGAACTCTCTCTTTATGTGGCCCCATCCACATGGAGTATAAGCTGAACTGACCCCCTGCTGTGTTCAGCTCTACCTCCCCAGGTTCTCAGCATGTTGATCCAGAACCCTGACCCACACCCTCCTCCTGCAGGACAGCGAGATACAGCCTACCTGATGGCCCCACTGACCCCCCCACATGGCCTATGCAGTCACGACATAGGGACCACCTCTGGTCATGGCATGATGCCAGAGAACCTGAGCCTGCTGGCTCTAGCCCACCAGTGAGAAGTCCCCTGGGAAGACCTAGGTGGGTAGCACCCTGGACCTAGGAAGGAAATGGCCTTTGGGAATCATCCTCTGCCTGCCTTTGAGCTCAAGGATGGAGGGTTGCCCTCCCCACTGGGATCTGGAGATCGCTATGAGCTGGTCTCTTAGTGTCATGGCACCACGGCCTTGCTCCTTCCCCTGGAGCATTCTCCCCAGGATACAGGGGGGCAAGGTCAGGCTCCCAGGGCCAAAGCAATGGTCAGACATGTACCAACAGGCCAGCTGGGCATCTGCCAGCTTAAATGAGGTTTCTACTCGAGGGACCCTGGTCCCAGGTCTGACAGCTAGGCATGGGGCCTTCCGCCAGGTAAAGCAGCACCTGTGACAGGCACCCATAGGTGCCCATAACCAGCCCCTCCATATCTAAGCAGGGCAGGGCTGCCAGCCACTCTGCCTCTGCAAACCCAGTGAATTTAGGGATCCCAGAACACCAGGTCATGTAATTGTCCCCATGCCAGCTGCTGCGACTGTAGGAACAGTGCCCTGGCCAGATAGGATCACAGTGTGTATCTAGGGACCTGGGTCTCTCACAGAGGTAAGAAGAGTACCAAAGGGAGCCGGATATCCAGCAAACTGTCCAGGCTCTGGGTCAGTGTGATATGAAGGGGTGGCAGATTGAGAAGAGAAATGCAGGAGTATCTATGGGACTTGTGACTCCACAACCTGTCCCAGCAGTCCACACACCTGTCAGGGGCTGATGTGTTAGGTGGCAGCCACACATACCCGTCCGGCTTTGCTGAAGGAGTAAGGATAAAACATCTTTGTGTTAGTGTGACTGGCAGCATGTGTCTTTGTATTCTTCCCCTTTCCAGCTTTATTTTACTCACTTGAAACTGAATTCTTTATGGTGCTGAAAGCTGTATGTTGTGATGATTTCATACTAAATAGAGGAATAAAGACAATGAATTATACTACAAAGATGTATCTCCCTTGAAAGAAGTGGGATTCATCCCACCTGGAAGTATAAGAGGGTTTTGAGACAGCAACTGTTCTCAGTGGGTGTGCAGACAGCACACTCCAGAGGAGCCTAAAGGGTGCCACATCTGCTGGCCCACGGCCTCCAACTCAAGGGCAGGGGAGATCAAGGCTCACTGGCTGTACAAGTCCTCTCCTTTTTGCCTTCCTTGTTCTCCCTTCTGCAATCTATTGCTTTAGAAGTTCCAAGCACCTTTTCCTCTGCTCCCTGTTAAAATCAAGGGTCTCAGTGGAAGCCAGGGACCTTACCTCTGCAGCCGTTCCAACTGCAGCACCGACTTCCTGAGTGACTCTTCCAGCTGTGAGATCTAGACACATGAAACAACCTCTGTCACCAGATGGACCCATGCCGAGTGACAGTTTACATAATACACACTGAGCTCAGCCCATCAGGCTCTCAGCAGTGTGGCCCTGGGAGCCATCTGTGCAGAGCTGACTCAGGCCCTGGGGACCCAGTCCAACCCTCCTGTGCCAGCCCAGCATGCAGCTGATATGGACAGGCAGGAGCCGAGAGCTCAGGTGTGCCAGGTGCTGCTCAGGGACACTGGCCTTGAGCCAGACATCTGACTGTACACAGATGCTCTAAGCACAGCTTGTGATGTGGCAGGGCCTGGGCCTACACCTGGACCCAGATCTGCAAGGGCTCAAGGCCATGACTTAACGCTCCATCCTAAGGTGGTGTCTGTCCAGTGGGGTCAGTACTGCCTGTCCTGTAGGTTTGTTGGGGGCAAAAGACATTAACACAACAGAAGGCTTCGCCAAAGCTCAGCACAAGGTGAGCATCCTCTGGCTGGGTTCTGGGGCACTTCTGCGGTGTGGTATGGAGTTATTGCTTGAGGCTGGAGGGTCTGTGCACAGAACCTGAGCACCTCATACCCCTCCAATGGTCATGCCCAGAGAAGTAGAAGCAGGGCCAGGCAACAGCTTCTGGATTCAAGGAAGGGGCTCCAGAGTTTCATGGCTTAAAAGCCAGCATCCTCATTTAATTTACTCCAAAAACTCCAGAGTTTTAAAAACAGGACTTTCATTTTAAAAAATACCCAAGATATCCAGGCAGAGTAGCACATGCTACTACTACGGTAGCACAGTAGCACCCTCGCTAATTGAGATGCTGAGGCAGGAGGATTCAGAGTTTGAAGTCTGCATTAGTGAGATTGTGTCTCTACATAAAATTTGTTTTTTAAAAATTTATTTATTTATTTATTTATTTGTTTATTTATTTATTTATTTATTTATTTATTTATTGGTAACCAGGGATTGAACTTGGGTCCTTGTGCTTGCAAGGCAGGTGGTGGAACCACTGAGCTAAATCCCCAGCCTCTATGTAAAATTTCAAAAAAGGGATGCGATGTTGCTTGGTGGTACACTCTTGCCTAGCACCCATGGGGCTCTGGGTGGTTCCATGCCCCAAAAACAAAAACAAAAACCCTAGATGGCTGAGCAGATGAGCCAAGTGGCCTAGGAGGCTCTGAGACAACTGCAGGCAGGTATCAGGCAAAGGGGAGACAGTGACAACACTGCACACTGGAAAAGTCAAGAAAAGCAGCCTCACACCCAGGCTCCCTTAAAGAGGGTGGTGTTAGGCAACAGTCTGACCTTTAGGGCAGAGATCAAATGGCCCAGGAGGCAGCAGATTGTTCTGCTTACCTTTTCTCGATAGAAGGTGAGCAGCCTCTTCCTGTGCTTGTCTTGGAACTCTGAAATCTGAGAGGCAACAAAAGTCAGCCAGGGGAGAAGTGGTGGTGTTGGAAGGTGGGAGTGGGTGGCTGTACACCACCTCCTTCCACGGAGACATGTGGGTGCTGCTGGGTGAGGGCTGCTGCCACCAGGGCTGCCCAGCGTGGATGCTTGGCACTAAGGTTCCTAGAGTAGGGAATGTGTGTCCAACAGAGGCCAGTGAGCTGCTATGAACGCCTCCTGATGATACTGTGGCTGCTTGTCAGCCCACAGCCACTCCTGTCCAATCTGGGACATCCACAGTGTGCTGTCACTCTGATGACAGTGAGCAGCCTGAGGTGCCCTCCTGACTGACCAGCACCAAGTAGGGAACCATGGCCCAGACCAGTGGTGGGGAGCCAAAGCAGGAGACCCAGCCAGATTGCCAGTGGCTCGTCTGCACCCCAGGGCCAGCCATGCCTGAAACCTGCCCCATCCCTGGTTTTCCTTAGAGACGCCTGTATTCCATGTCTGCTGCACACACAGCTGGAATTGGGCTTCTCACAGATCTAATGGAAGTGGGGGGCAGTGGTCTGCAACTTGGAGAAGACAGCTGTTTCCAGTGAGTGAAGGCTCAGATGATGGTGCTTACCCACTTCAAACACCAGACTGTCCCACGTCACCTAACTCTGCCACCACTCAGGCATGGCCTGCAGACAAAGGGGCGACTGAGGATAAAGTATATTTAAAGTCACTTCCTGTAAGCTTGGCAATCTTCTCACACCACAGACAGGAGGGAGCAGTGTCCAACCTCATACAAAAGACAATCTAGCTGCGAACAGGGACATGGGCACAAGTTGGGCCTGCAGTCCTGTCCCCTCCATGGAGACACCACCTTTGGGTCAGTGGGTGTCGTCCTCCTCAGAGTGGCCAGTCTCAGGACCAGAAGAGCTATCAGCTTGGGGACAAGGCAGGCACAGCCCGAGCGCTGCTCACACAGACCATGAAGAGTGGTGAAGAGTCCTGCAGGCGACACAGGCTGCATCCCCATGTGCCTCCCCACTGCAGAGTGGGAGGCTGAGCCCACCCGACCCTGTCATGGGCTCCTGCGGGGGTGGGGTGCTGGCACCTGTGCCCGGCTCTAGGGAGCCCACTGGTACCATGTCTGGACAGGCAGAACTCTGTGACCTCAGAGGCTTCTCATACCCTTTCCTTCCTGCCTCAGGCACCTGTGGTCAGGCAGGAACAGGAAGAGTGCTGGCAGTTGGCTGCCTGTCTCCTGTCCCACACCTGTGCAGGCAGGGCCTTGGAGTATGGCCCTTACCTCACAGGCATGGTACCTGGGGACTAACAGGGGCTGACACTTTGTAGCGGATGTCCACACCAGTCAGGTGCATGGGCCTGGTGGTGGGCACCGGAGTGCAAGGGAATGCCATTCTCCCACTGGCAGGGTGGCTTTTGGACAAGGACCCTAATGGAGAGAACACGCAGCCTCTGTGCCTGACCCTGTCTTGGCCAGGGCAGGTGTGACTGCAGCAAGGTCAGGGCTGTAGGCACGGTGTCTCCGGATCCTGGGAAGCTCAGCGGAGAGGAGACGAACTCAGGAGATGAGGACTGGGATGCAGAGGGATGAGTCTGGTGGAATGTGGGTCCAGGGCTTCGCTTGTGAGCACAGGGAAGAGGGCATCTTGGACTCCATATGTCCGCGTCCCTGGGTCTGCAATCTGCTGGGGTCTCACGCTGGCCTTCCACAGGGTTTCTCTGGTCTGGGGTAGAGACACTGGCTATGGCCTCAGAAGGGAGATTTTATTAATAAATACAAAAGAACGCTACATCTTTTTCTTGTATGAGCTATGCCTCTCAGATTAAGTCAACCCAGGGCAGAGGAAGCAGAGGCTGCTCTAGACCAGGTCTGGTTAAAGCTGCTCAGGGCTGATTCACCTTTGTCCACAGCTCATGAGCTGAGGAGACTGTGACAGGGAAGGGAGGCCCAAGACAGTGCAGACTGCATGGAGAGCAGTTTCCTTCAAGGAGCAGCATCGCCGTGTTTCAAAATGGGGCAGACAACGAATGTCAGTGCTGGGGGCGGGAGTGGCAGGCACTGCAGGCAAGCACACTCCTCAGCCTACAGCTTTGCTCACACCCAGGGTGGCTCTGCCTCTGCAGACCGGCAAGTTCCTGCTTTGCAGGGCCAGCACCCGGCCTGCACAGCACAGACGAGTCCTACTCGGGCAGGGGCTGTGTGACAGAGGCTCTCACACAGGTCTTCAGGCAGGAGGCCTATGTCTGTCCCAAAGGAATTCAGGGAGGGGACAACAAAGGCCCCCAAGGCAGCTGTAGCTGAGGTCTCTGCTGCCATCCTACGGCAGGACTCAGAGTTCAGGTCTGTGGATCCGAGGAGCTTTGCTTAGGTGGGTTTTATCTGTCACTATTTATTCATTAGAAATTAAGACAGAAATTTTAAAATGTTTGAGTCTTTAAAACAATAAACCCATATGTTAGCTAAACCCAGTCTCAGGTGCCTCCCCAAGGACACGGCTGGGCGTAATCTGGGATGGGGTCCTTGTGGGGACCACTTAGGCATTGTTCCCGGAGAGGAAGGATGGTGGAGCAGACCTGGCTGGCCAGAGCCTGGACATGAGGTGTGGCTGAGGGCATTGGTTGGGTGGTCTCAAATTCTCCCAGGCCGCCTGCTTCAGCGGGAAGTGACATGAAGCCGGGAAAAGGGAGTCGGGAGGGAAGGGCCTGTGCAGCCCGGCACCACCCCACAGGTGAGAGCAGACACGTGCAGCCCTGGGTGCTATCTGTAGAGGATAGCTTCACGAAGAAACCCACTGTCCTAAATCTAGAGACCTGGCCTAGAGGGAGGGTCTCAGGAACTGAACTTCCGGGGTGGGGAGGGGGGATCCTGCCTAAAGGGGCTCAGGGCTGAACTGAGCTTATGTGGGTCTCAATGGGACACCAAAATAAATCACATGGGCTTTGTCCAGATTGAAACCTTTTGTGCACAGGTACTTCACCACTGTAAAGGTGGAAAAACTCAGAGAAGGCAGAAAATACTCACTGACTCCATATGTGCAAGGGCGTGGCCTCCAGAGCACACAGTGCATGTGGTCTGAGATGACCCGCCTGCATGTCTGTCCCCAAGCCCCCCTCAGCAGCACTCACCTGGGCGGTGTCCTGTGAGTACTTCTTGCACAAGCTGTCTATGCCCATGAAGAACGCCTGGATGCTGGAGTCAGTCTGAAAGAAAAGCCAAGGGCTCAATGTTTGTTGCTTAAAGCTTCTGGCCACTGATTAAAAAGCTGCACATCAAGGTCTAGAATTGACCAGAGGTGGCACAAACCACCAGCACTTCACCTTGGAAGGGTGACACTAAGGACTACCAGAGGGTCCTGGGTTCAATTCCCAGTACCATGAAAAAATTGTAGCTCTTGTTTGTTTGTTTGTTTGGTACCAGGGATGGAACTATGGTCTCTGTGCTTTCAAGGCAGGTGGCAAAACCCCTGAGCTAAATCCCCACCCACTAGCTTTTGTTATTAATGAAGCCATAATAACTGACTTACCCAAACTTGAAAAGAACATCAAGTTAAGGGGAAACTACAGATTCAGTTCACACAAAACAAAAAACCCCAAGCCAAACAGTAGTAACCTGTGCTCATCTGTAGACACAAGCTGTGCCACAACACCCCAATGTATTTATTCCTGGAATCTAATAGGGTTTTAAAATTAAAAAAATAAGTACAATTCACTACATTAACAAAGTGAGGTTAAAAAAGGAAAGATGATAGTTGTAGAAAAAGTAAAAGCTCTATACCACTTATAGTTTTAAAAAACCCAACCCCAAGCAAAAACTTAGTGCACACAAAATATACTCTTGGGCCAGGGATTTAGCTCAGTAGTTCCACTGCCAGCCTCACAAGCGCAAGGTTCCGAGTTCAATCCCTGGTATCAAAAAAAAAAAAAAAAAGAAAAAAGAAAAAAAAATGTTGCTCCTGCGTGCGTGCGTGCGTGTGTGCGTGTGTGTGTGTGTGTGTGAGCATATGCTCTTTGGTGGTGAAGCAGAGAAGGCTGGCCATGAAGTCAGGAGAGATGGGCAGCTCCAGCCCCAGCTCCTGCGCTGCATCAGCTGGAGGGCCAGACAGTGACTGGGGGTGTCAAAAACCCTAGAGGAACCTTCACATACACTAGGAGATTATTAAGTACATTTGGCAAGATCTCTAGTATAAGTCAATAAAATCAACTACATTTTATGTACTAGTAGTGAGCGCTGAGATGATGAAATTTTAAAAAACTGTAGCAGACCTTCAAATCTTAAAGCCTAGGAACCATCACCATCACCATGGTGTTGCAGGAAGGCCTGTCTACAGAAAACCATCAGTCATTACTGAGAGAAATCGGAGAACTTCCAAGTAAACAAGACAAGTGCCACACTCGTGGATTAGAAGGGTCAATATTATATATACCAATGCCCTTCATACTGTCTTACTGATCAAGTAAAAAATAAAAATCCCAACAGGATTCTGTGTGTGGAAAGTGACAAGTTGATTTCAAAACTTATATGGGCACGCAAAGTTCACTGTAGGCCAATGGACACATCACACAACCCCCACGAGTGGTTCACTGTGGGACACCTGTCCCTTGCCCATGCAACAGTTCAAGCCCATACTCAGTAGCTTCCACTTAGGGCCTTGGGCCCAGGCCTCTGCAGGTAGGTAGGGGTGTCCAGGAGGTCGCTTTTTTGTGGGTTGGGCCCATAAGTGTCCTTTCTTGCTCCCCCTGTACTCATGACACTGGGTACCAGGAGGTGAGGAACAAGTTGTAGGACAACCACATGCATGGGCCTTATTCTGGTTGTTAGTATCTGCTTCCCTCTTGCCAGTACAGAAAGTCGCTCCCCCACTGGCACACCTTGAGAGCCACTGCCACATGGTAAGCTCAGGTCACCGGGTGAGTCGCTGTTCTTTTTTTTTTAGGTCCCAGTCTAGTGTATTAGTCACTTTTCTGTGGCCAGAACAAAAGAGCAAAAATAATTTGAGGGAGGAAAGATTTTGGCTCAGTCTCAGTTCATGCTCCTTGTGTCTAGTGAGGCAGAAGCACCATGATGGAAGGGCATGGCGGAGGAAAGCCACTCACCTCATGGCAGCTAGGATCAGTGCAAAGGAGGGGAAAGTCAGAGAGGAAGAAGCTGGGACAAAAATGTACTCAATGACCTACCTCATCCAACTAGGCCCTGCCCAGTAAGCCCATTAACTATAAATTCATTGATGGATTAATCCATGGATAAAGTCAGGGTCCTATCCCCCGAACACTGATGCATGTGGATCAAAGCCTCAGTGTATGAGTTTGGGAGACCCTTCACATTTAAACCACAGTAGTGTGCAACCCATGAACTAGAAAACAGGAACATCCCTAGGTCCTTGCCATGACCCAACATCGAAAAGGGCCCAGGGCTGGACAACTGCAGAAACCCCCAGCAATGCAGAGTGGACACAGCATCCAGAGAAGGCCCAAGCCTCCTCCTCTGGGAAAGCTGTGGTGGAGGGCAGTCCCTCTGTTTCCTGGGGCACACCCACATGCACATCTCCAAAACCTGGCTATCTCACTGGAGGTTATGGAATGGGCACAACAAGAGTGTTGGTTTCTATCTAGCTGTTTCCCAAGAGCCTCATGTGGTCATAGTAGGGCTTCTCAACAGTGATGGATTACAGCTTATAGCTGACTTGCTGTTGGGAGGTCTGGCCTGGTTGGAAGAGGAGTGTCACTGGGGGTGTGACCTGGAAAGGTTTATCTTCTTTCCTGGCTCCTCCTTTTGCTCTTTGCTTCCTGTCTGCCAAGCCATGAGCAGTTTTCTTTTGCCATGCTCCTCTGCCATGTTGCCCTGCCTTGGAGCCAGCCAACTATGGTCTGAAACCTCTACAAACTATGAGCCAAAGTAAGTCTCTTGTGTGCCATGTATTGTGTCTCAGTGACAAAAAAGTGACCATGACAAACAGAAGGTCCAACTAGGCTGCTGGGGCCTTTATCACTCCAGACGTAATTCTTACCACTTGAGTCAAAAGCAACTGGCTTCCCCAGTCGGAGGGCCTCTTTGTTCCTTCCCACCTCTGCTGGAGACCAGCCAGGCCTTACCTGAATGCATCTTTCTCATAGCTCCTCAAGAAGCAGACCACATCTCTGTTCTGGACTCTCTAAAGCCTTTCCTCCTGGAGGCCCAGGCCCATCTTGTCTTGCAGGCACCAGCTTCCATTTCCTGCTCCCCACACAGGCTCAGTGCAGTGGTGCTCTATTTCCTGTGTATAGCCATAATGCCCATTTTCATGGCAAACTGATGAATGTATGTTATGTTATTTTGTATATAGGCAAACAGAGTTGGGGTACCTTTTGTATAGTGATGCATTATACTGCTGGTCAGGTGAAATCATCTAACAACAAAACTTTTGTTTTAAAGAAACAGATCAGAGTAGAAACCAACAGAAGATTCTATACTTAGTGGAGATAAATACTGCCTTGCGACACTTCACAGAGCAGACCCTATGCTGTACTAGTCTTTCCTGATACAGGTCATAGTCACAGACACAGCTGTTACACAGCTCAGACGGGGACAGTTTCTAAGAAGATGACTCTCCAGAGACGTGATGTCTGTGGGGGATGGAGCAATGCTGAGAGAATGTTCTAGTCAGAGGCAGCAAAAGGCTAGGCACTGAGTGGAAGCCCCAGGTTCCACAGCAACAGCAGCAACAGCAGCAGGTGGGGGATACCAGCTTGTAGACCAGGAGGGTACAGAGGCCAGTCCAGAGCCATGAGCACAAGGGGCCTTGGCTTCCTCCTGAGGTGAAACTGGAGGCTTGGATCTGATTTGCACCTGGGCAGAGTCCACCAGCTTCAGGCTGCAGAGCAGGAAGGCCCACAGGGATGAAAAGATGGTGAGGGCGATATGGACTTTGAGGAAGCTGATGGAGGACACCAGGTGATGGTGTAGAGTAGAGGTACACAGAAAGAAGTAGCCACACCTCAAGGTCATCAATGTTCACAGCTTCCCTCACACACTCAGTCATGGAGAATAAAAGACATATGCTTTCCAAGCTTTTGTAGAACACTAGCTACACACAAACCACAATGAGAATCCTGCTAACTAAAAAAAGACAACATATATACTCTCAGCTCACAATGCCATGAAACTAAAAATTAATCATGAAAATGGCAGTAAAGCTAAAATCTAACTCAGGTATGTCCAACTCATGGTTTGCATGGGGCCCTATAAAGATCCATAGGATTGTACACTTTTAACATCATTATGTGGTTTTTACTGCTATCTTTCACGACTGATTTCAGTGCTTAGGCATGAACTACACAGATGACAACAGAGTGCAGTGCAGGGAGGGCACAGGGCAGTGGTGGCTGTGCCTCTTGTGCTTACCACACACAGGCCGTCTGTCAGACAGAAATCTGTGCATACAAGACATTACACGGCAAGTAAAATATAGAGACAGCCAAGCTGGGCATGGTGGCACATGCCTGTAATTCCAGCATTCAGGAGGCTGAGGCAGGAGGATCACTGTGAGTTTGAGCCCAGCCTGGGCTACACAGTGAGTCCCAGGTCAGTCTCAACTACACAGTGAGACCCTGTCTCAAAAAACCAAAACAAAAATAAAAACAACAACAAAAAATAGTGACTGCCATAACATTGTCCATCTACTTACACATATGTATGCGTTAACACAGCATTTACTGTTATTAAGCAGGTATGTAAAATTTCTTATTTATTAAAATTGAGCTTGTTGTGTAATTTCACAAGTAATCAGCTAAAATTCTTTTTTTAGCAGCAGGGATACAGGAAGTATAGAATGTGTCAGACCGTATTGTGCCTTATAGCTAGATGTCCCCCCAAAGCCTCATGCAATCATAGGTGGGGCTTTTTTGGAGGTGGCTGGACCTAGGGTGATACTGGGGTTAAGGAGGTATGGTACTGGACTAGTTCACTAATTGGTTTATCATAGATCTGGGTGCAGATAATGAGACCTAAGTTGGTGTGGATAGCACCACCCAAAAGGCTTGTAGTCTAGACAAGATAAAAAGAAAGGGAAACTTGCTTCCTGCCTGCCCTATCATGGACTGTTTCTCCTTTGTGATGCCCTTCGACCATGCTGTTCTGCCTTGGAGCCATTGTACTATGGAATGAAACCTCTACAAACTGCGAGCTACAATAAACCTTTAACTTGTGAGTGTTGAGTATTTTGTCTCATTGAAGAGAAAAGTAACTAAGACAAATAGTTTTTGTTTATGATGTTGTTATGATTACATATACAATATTGCTAATGCTAGAAAAATACATGGTTGCTTATTTATTAGCATTTGGATATAAATCAGAGCAGCCTCACATTCAAGTAAAAAAAAATCTAATCATGTCTCTACTAGACTTTTGTGAGATCTACCTTCCCAGGGAAAATATCCTTGCTTCACAATCATGCCTTACTCGTGCCGTTGCTTTTCAGCCTACATACATTTGTGAACAACTCTTTTCAAGAACAAAGAATACAAAGAGTAAAACTGATTAAAAATTCCTAAGGAGCACCTTGAAAACTTACTGAGAATTTCAACAACTTTCATAGAACTAGACATGGATGCATTAATTTTATAAAAATGAGTTCAAATATTTCACTAGTTTTATGCTTATGTTACCCTCTTGTAAAAATGTTATGATAAAAATATTGCTAAAAGGAAATTCTGCTACTTACATTCATTAACTAGATTATATATTTTATATGTAGCCCAAGACAATTCCTTTTGGCTCAGACAACCAAAAGGTTGGACACCCATGATCTAACCATTTAGAAATTAAAGAGTATTCTTTCAAATAATTATTGAGTTAGAAAGGAAATAAAAATAACAGATTAGAGATTATTTAGAAATGATTCAGAATAGCAGTATTCAAAGTGATCTAGAAACATAATGCATAAATGGGAATGGACAGTCTCAATTACACTTACTAGGGAATAAGGAAGAAAGCAAGTGGCCTGAATATTCAACCCATGAAGGCAGAGAAAGAGCCAGGTACCCTCGAGGCTCTGCCGGGAGCCTGACTGTGTGGCATGGCTTAGTGCTGCAGAGTGGTACATAGCAGAGATAGGCGGTTCCTGGGACTTCATGCTGCCTCACACTGGAGGAAAATAGGCCCTTTCTGTTAAAGATATGAACATTTAAATATCTTGCCCTTGATTTTCACTTTTAGGAATTTATGCAACAAAAAATATTCTTACAAGTGTGGAGAGAGATTGTTAAAAAATGTTCACTGTGGGGCTAGGGATTTAGCTTAGTGGTACCACCGCCTGCCTTGCAAGTGTAAGGTCCTGAGTCCGATCCCCAGTACAAAAAAAAAAAAAAGTTCATTGTGAGGTTTTCTGAAACTGAAAAGCCGAAAACCCCACAGGCTCATGAAAAAGAAAACACTGGGGGCAACCCACTTTCTGGTCCCCCTTCTGTCTCTCCTGGACGGAAGCTTTCTTTCCCTCAATAAGTGTTTCCTACTCTTAACTTCCATTGTTCCTAGAATTAATCCTTTGATTTTAGAGAACATGAACTCACATTTCGGATATCTAAGAGGTTTGGGAGTTACAGCTCTTCCTCCTATATCATTTTGGAGGTCTTCCACTATGATTACTGGTCAAAGTATTTAATTCAAGGTACTTCCCTCCTGCTGGATTTCAACACAAAGCTTCCAGAATGTTTGGAGTCCAAAACTGCAAAGGTAACTGGGCTATGAGGACAGCCAGTATTTTAGCCCTGGCCCCTCAAGGTCTACAAGATCCAGGAAACAAAGGAACCTTTCCTACAGATCCTACATCTTTGAGGCTACCAAACTCCAAGCAGTCATACACATGGAACCAGATGTAGGCAAGGTACAAGTCTGGCTGGGACAAGTGCACCGCACGTATGTCTCCTAGCACACCAGTAGAGGCCGAGCTCGTGCATTGAGCCTTGTCTATCTATGTCCAGCTATGGCCTCGCCCATCCCCCCTAGCTGGATGCCTCCATTGCCTCATCCAAGGACACTCCAATAACCAATCCTGTTAAGCCAAATATATTACTCCCCGTTTCAAAACTTTATAAATTGCTGGCTGAACTTATTAAAAGTGGAAGCGTTCCAGAACCCTCCCTGGAGTCTGCTTGGTGATTCCACGCCTCGCCCTCCCAGACTGAGTCCCTGAACCTTTGTTCCACGAGCAGGCTCGTGGACAAAAACAATAACCAATGACAAATGTGCTAGACTTCTTTTACTGGGATCCACCAGATTGACCTTGTAAACAGTTCATAACTGCTAACGTAAACAATATGACTTCTATGATGGATTCTGAAGTCCCCTGGATCTTCTCCTTTATCTTCTTTGTGGGCTATATTCATAGCAATCCTGCTGACCTCTTAATTTGGCCCATGCATTCATAACTGTTTCTTTGGCTTTGTCTCTTCCAGATTTAAGAGACAATGCCAGGCACCTATGGAAGGCCTTTAAATAGACCCTCTGTAGAGTAACTCTAACTGCTGATCACAACTACAACCCTCTTCAGCTGGAAGTAGCCAGAGGTGTCTTCGCCCTTGGCCCCATCACAGCAGTTAGGGATACTTCTTCAGAGGGGGGAATATTGCAGGTAGGTAAGTTAATTAGATATCTTATAGGCAGTTAGACAGGGCCACCCTCAAGGAGCCAACACAGTAAGGAGGCAACATGCAGGACAATCAAGACACATTCACTGATGGAAATAAAGTGTTTGTAAATGGAGAGGGGAGGAGGGGGTGAAGGGAGGGCAGGGACAAGGGGAAAAAATGAGAATCAAGACCTATTATGTAAAGGTACAGAATCCCAATGATGAATGTAATTGTATTGTATACCTAGATTGTACCAATATCCTCAATAAAAAGAAAAAAAAAAAAAGACACATTCACTGAAGGCCAGAATTGTAAAAGGAGGGAAAAACTACTACACTTTTGTGCTTCCTCTGGGGATAAATAGCAGTGACTGATATTCCAAATAGGTTTCAATTACCTGGGTGGGGGGCCAAGGTCCTAATCCAGCCTTTCCAGGAAATATTGACCCCTACCCTTACTGAAAATCCTTGTAAGCTTGCTATGTGACTTGCTCCCCCATTTGATTCCCATTTAATCCCTATTACCTGGGTGACTATACTCATAATCTTATTGGTTGGTCATGCCCACTTTGTAATTTTCCATTGGGTCTTACAGTTTTGTCCCACTTTTTACCTGCCTCACCACATGGCTTTGCTGTACAAAACATCTTGGAGAAGTGAGAGGGCAACCCTCTTTCTGGTCCCCCTTCTGTCTCTCTTAGATAGAAGCTTCCTTTCCCTCAATAAATTTTTCCTATGCTTAAAAAAAAAAGAAAATGTTGAAATACATATTATGTAGTAATTTTAAAAGAGGGTGCCCCAAAGATAATGTCACCTGGGAAAACACTTTTGTAAATCATAAAAACCAGGAAAGACACCAAACTCTAGGATGTTGTCTTTAGAAACAGGATTTGGGCAGCTTTCACATTAATTTTCTGTATTATCTGAACTTCTGTGTAACTTTGTTTTATATTTGTAACAAAATAATTATGACATTTTAAGATATTAGATCAAACATACATGTTAGAGAGTGAGGTCGAAGACAACAATCATTTGTAACTAAGTTCATACAAAAGAACATGTAAAACTAATGCAGTTTAGATAGAACCAAAGGCATGGTTTTAAATCAGTATTGTACCTGATTTTAAGCCTCTGTCACTAACAACCTTCTTTTTTTTTTAATGACCTTCTTAATTACACACATATGACCTCGATGTAAAACCAAACTCCATTGCATCCTAAAGAGCTGGTATTGTGTTGAAGAAATCTTCCTAACTCATTTCACTTCTAGGAACACAGTATGGTCCAAGAGATGACAAGAGCCAATCTATAACTGAGAGAGGAAGTTATGAGGTCTTAGAAACATAATCCTAGCTCCACATTAATTTTCAGAAGTCTCACAATATGCAGTTAATCCAGCAAAAAAAATGAAAAATTTAGATACCACAAGTGACTACAAACTAAATTTAAAATTAAAATATTATTGTAAGAAATACTCAAATACTATAGGTCTCAACTTACATGTTTTGTGAGTAAAACTGTACGACAAGGAACTTTACAAATCATGCATTCATCCTTTCTACCTATAAAATAAAAACATTTCACATTATACAATGTTTAGATATGTATAAATGCAGTATTTAAATTATGTTTCTTTAAGAAATATGCAAGGTTATGGCATCTAAATGTTTTCATAATCAGAGAGAGCATGATGCTCTAGGTATGCATGCAACCTAAGCCAGTGATTTATACAACAACCCCTTTTTCCTGCTTGCAAATATGCACCAAAACAAAGGCCATAAAGATGGACAATACTTAAGGTTAATTCTATCCCAGGGCTGGAGATGTAGCTCAGTGGCAGAGTGCTTGCCAGGCATGAATGAGCCCTGGGCTTGATCCCCAGCACTGGAAAAATAAATCTATCCCAGATATTCATTGCAATTAGATCTTATAATGATATCTTACTTTAAAAGTTTTGACTATATTTAATATGAAAATAGCCACTCCAACTCCACCCAAATGATGAGTTTTTCTCTGCCCCTCTCAGTCTCTCCTCTATACCACACAAGGGTATCACACATCAGGACATACCATTCCTTCATGCAGTTAGTGCCTAGTTACCTGAGCTCCTGGTACCTGTGACCAGCCCTAGGCCTGAGCACTGGTTGCTATGCCCCACTTTCTAGCATCCAGCAATGTACTGCCCAATCTCCAGGTCTTTCCCACAGATCCAGAGGGATTCCAGCCCTACATCACCATCTTTCTCTGCATGGATTTTAATCATTATCTGGAGTCTCAGCTCCAGTGGCTCACCTGTTCCAACCTGCTCTCCACACAGAGATCCAGAGCTCCATATCAGCACCTCTGCTGCCTCCCTAGGCCTCTACAGCATCTAACATCATTAGGAAACACAGAACTCTTTCCTACATTCAGCTCCTTTCCTGAGGCCTGCCACTTCCTCATACCTGTGAGCTCTTCACTAGCCAGCTCGGAGCCCACAGTTTCCACGTCCTTCTCCTTTCCAGGTAGTATATCTGCCCCAAACCTGTTTTTTCCTTCTGCTGTCCAGTGCAGCCAAGAACTGGGGCAAACCCACTTGAGAGGTGGAGTCACAAATGAGTGGATTCCACACAGCTGCATCTGCAGCACTGCTAGAAGAACCTTCTGCTCTGTTCAGGGCTCCCCCCACCCTGTCCCTGTGGTGATGTTCAAATGTAAAAAAAAAAAAAACACCCAAAAGCCCCCTGCTCATGATGTACCTCAACTCCCCACCTTCTCCAGACCTAAGAGCCAGATAACCCCCTGATTCACTCGGCCTTATTTCTATTTGGGAGAGTAGCTGCCTCTGAGTTGTGCTCACCTCAGATCCACAGCACCTCAAAGAGTGTGGTGGCCTGGTATGGAAAACATGGTCCTCTTCTAATGGCCTCCAGAATGGCCTCCTCCCTTCTCCTCTTAAAATACATTCAAGTCACCAGATCCTCCCCTTCTATCTCTCTTTCACTATGGACTCTGGAGAAAGGAAATTCCTTTTATGCACCATCACAGCCAGAAGCCCTGCAGTGAAAGATTACAGAGCTGACTCATAAAAATCTAAGCATTATGCTTGGGGAGAAGGATCAAGAGATTTCTACAGAGGAAGTCATTTGCAGCTCACTGTCAAAGTGGTTGATAGCTGACAAATAGTGCTTCTAAGACAACTAGAACAAATATTTCAATAAAAGGCTGTGAGAGGGCTCCAATAAGCAATCAGCAAATAGCCAATAAAGGTAAGAAAAGCCAGACCACTAATGAGGGGATAACAGGTGCTCCCAAGTCAAAGCTAAGAACGTCAAAAAATGGGCACACATTCTCTGGGGGAAGTCTGATTCACTTTAATGGGCACACCCCCAGTTTAGCAATCCCATCCCTCGGAATGAACTTCAAGGTGAAAAAGTCAGTAAGTGAACAATGGCAGTTGTCCTTTAATAGAGAATCAAATAACAAAAGCCCAAAAGGCCGACCTCCACTGAGAGTTCCCACCCCCGCGCCTGCCCTGACCTTTGCAGAGGCAGGCGTCACAGTACACATGCCCACAGCTGGTCAGGCTAAAGGACGACTTCCTGTGGGGTGGTTGGAAACAGCGGTTGCAGAACACCCAGCTGGCCATACCGGGAGCGTCCGCCAGGACACAGAGGCCGAACTCGCGTCAGGCAGCTCGGCGCCTGCTCACTACGGATTTTTGCGCCTGCGCGCTACGGTTTTAGCGCCTGCGCACTGAGGCATCCCGCCAAAACTAGGCGGCGTGAACCGCCAATGGTGCGAGGTGAAGCAGTTTGCGCCTGCGCATATTGACAGCTGCGTCTGCGCATTGAGGCATCCCGTCAAAACCCGCAGATGAAAAAAAGGAGCTCAACGTCTCTGCGCACAGGCGGAGATAAGACTGCAAGAGCAGGCACCCGTGGGAGGACCTGGCACCTGACATCCTGCCCCATCCGTCCTCACCTTCGCCCAAGGAACAGCTGTCATGTCAGGCTCAGGTGGGGCCTGAGTGGGTGGGCCTCCATCCCCAGAGGGAGATGGGTGGTGAGTGGCGGACAGAGGATCTGCGCGAGTCGGAGTCGTGGCAGAGCTGGGAGGGCTGGGACTGGGAGGGGCGAGGCAGGGTCCCTGCGGCCCCACAGTGCACGTGGGAAAAGGCTTGGCCTCTGGCAGTTTGCTTCCTTAGCACAGATAACATGTCGGGAGGACTTGACATCTGCAACTTCCATTAAGGTTATAATTATTAAAGAATTAAAAGTTAAAAGGCTGGGAATGAAACTCGTGTTAGAGAGCTTGCCCAGCACGTGCGTGGCCTTGGGTTGGATCCCAACTTCCTGCACATCCACATGCAGGCGCGCGCGCGCCCACACACACACACACACACACACACACACACACACACAGAGTTGCTTTCTAAATACTATTTTCTATTTACAAAAACTTTGTTTCCATATTTTCATTTTCTCATATTTTTTCTTTTCCCTTATTTCCTTTCCCCTACCCTTCCCACTTCCTCTATAAGGAAGGGTGGTAGGGGTGAAGGGAGGGCAGGGGTAGGGGGAAAAAAGGAGAACCAAGACCTGTCATGTAAAGGTACAAGATCCCAATGATGAATGTAACTGTACTGTATACCTTAAAAGTACCAATAAACTCAATGATAAAATAAAATAAAATAAATACTATTTATTCTCCTCACAAGATGCCAGACCCCCTCCATGGCACCAGAGAGTAGAGGTACCTTCTTCCAGGGAATTAGGTTCACCTTAGTGGACGCCTTCCTTAGTGCATGCACTGGCTCCCTGCAGAGCTGTGGCTGTGACCTCCTGAGGCCACTGCACCCTTGAAACATAGCAGGTCCAAACTAGACTGTGATGTAAGTGAAACCTATAGCCCCAGTCTCCAAGACACGAAAAATGAATGTTAAAATATCTCTTGAGGAACTTTATATTGAGTATATTTTAAAATGACTATATTTTGATGTATCGAGTTAAATATGTGCCACTTGGGTTAATTTTTTTACCTTTCTTTAAAATCTTTTTTAATGTAGTGATGAGAGAATTTAAAATTTCATATATAGCTCATATTTTATTTCTGTTGCACAGTGCTGATTTATGTCAGGTTTGAAATATGATAATTGCTTGTTTTTTCAAATTCAGAACCTACATTTTTTTGTTTGCTTTGAGACAGGGTCTTGCTGTTCAGGGTGGCCTTGAACTCACAGCAGTCCTTCTGCCTCAGCCTCCTGAGTGCTGGGATAACAAGTGTGCCCACCACACCCAGCCCAGAAACTGCATTGTTGATGTAACATTTTACCAATGTTGCAACTCTATAACATTAATTTCAACCTCTGATATTTCAAAATCATGAAAGTGATACACATTTGTGCATGTATTTTGGTTTATTCAAACATTATGCAAATTATTTGTTTCTATTGATAATAGTCTAAACAAGTTTTTTAGCTATAAAGAAATCTTTAAGGTACTTTATTTGGAAAATTCCAACTGAAATAAAGATTAATGTTTGTGCTAAAGCCCACCATAAAACATTGCTGTTTGTATCTTCACTGGTCATTCGAAAGTTTTCTTCTCGGTCCTATGTAGAAGAGAAACAGATGGGTTTAGTTGCTTACAGTACTAAAAGTGCAATTTTTTTGTGGTAGTAGAGATAAACTTCTGAGCTTTGAGCTGTAGGCCAACACTTTACCACTGAGTGACATCCCCGCCCTTTAAAAACTTTTTTATCTTGTGATATGGTCTTGCTAAATTGCCAAGGCTATCCTCAAACTTTCCATCCTCCTGCCTCTGCCTCTGGAGTAGCTGAGATTATAGATGTGCACCACCTGGCTTAATGTGTGATTCTGGGAGTAAGGTTGCTATATATGTTCAGAATACTTAATATTACCAAATTAGTGTCTTTTTCCAAAGTGTAGTCTCAGCCAAAAGCAGTGCTTTAGCTAAGTATGAAAGAGTAGAAAGCAATCTGATAGATCACCTTTATATTTCCGTGTAAATGTCAGTAATTTGATCTGTTACTTTATACACATTATTTGCAACCATCAAGCAAAGTAGCATTACCTACCCAGCAGTGATAGATTTTCATCAGTTGAGTCCCTTATCCTGGGCACTATGTCAAGAACTTACTTGCCTTATCTAATTATCATTCTTGTAATTACCTTATTTTCCAGATAAGGAAATTGAGGCTTAAAAATGACACAAAATTAGCGAGTGGTACAGCACATTCGAGCCCACATCTGACCAGTGTCCACTGAACACAATGATTCAACAAAATTATGATCTAAAAAGTGGGCACAGTTGAGCCTCTCCAAACATATGGAGGTGTTTAGAGACATTCATTTGTTCACCCTTTGCCGCTGGCTGCCTTGCTCAGTATGGGGGATAAAGAGGTGAATGGGCTGCAGTTCTCTTCCCTGGAGGAGCCCTGGTCCAGCAGACAGGAGAGAAAGATTTCTCCCTCCCTACACTTTGCACAGCCTCTCAGTTCTAGCCTGAAAAGACCCAGGGACAGGCAGTTTATTCTTTCCTTAGTCTAGAGGCTTTGTGTTTAGAAATGTGTTCCTGGCAGGAAGAGATGAAATACATTGAATAGGCAGACTGACCCTTTGATAGTTTTGTTCTTTGAGTATTTGCTCAATTTGCTCAATTAGATGTTCAAGCTTGAAGGTAACTTCATTAACTTTGTCCTTTGCCTGAGCAATTGTTACATCAAGGTCATGTTCTCCAACTCGAATATCTAAGTGGATACGCTGTACAAACAGTAGAGAGGAAGAAATGGCATATTTTAAACAGTTCCACACTTCTGCCTTGCTGTCTCGCTCTTTATGTCCTTCCAGTTTCCTCCCTCTCCTTTCCCTTCTTACCCCTTTTCATAAGTAGGACATCACTTTGTCTTTGTGCTCCCTTTTATTTTCCCTCTTGGACTACTCTATTATCTATTCAATTCTGTAGTCTTTCTTTTAATAATAATGCAGGGAGTGGTAACCTATTGACCTGAAAGTATATGTATACCTTTTCTAAAATCAAATTTACTAGTAGGCAGATGCCTTTGGTACTGAGAAAATTTGATTTATGTGTTCAGGGAACTTTCTTCATATATAACTGAATTTCTTGTGCTAAAGTACAAATTCTCTTCATCTGTTCTCAAAACACTTAGAAAACAGCCAACCACCATCTATTGTGTAAGTGTTTTGTTAGAATTCCATTATTAATTCACTCTCAGCCTTCACTTGTTTTCAAGCCTGAATAATCACAGCTCTTTTAACCTTCCCTCATAGCTCTTATGTTTCAAACCCTTTAATCAACCTCGTGGCTCTCCTTTGAATGCGTTCCAAGCTCCCCAGCTCCCTCTTTGGTTGCTGCATTGAGGACTGGGCCCAGGACATCAGTAAATTTCTAGCCAGTCTGTGTGTAATGGTTCTGCATACCAATGTCATGCTTGAATAATGTGATGCTGTGTTCATCAGCAAGAACAGAGGAGGTATATACTCACCAGCCGACTCCCACCAAATGACATAAGCCTTGTAGAATTAGACTCTAAGCAAATGATGTGTTCTCCAGGCGAATGTGAAGTAAAATAGAATGTCCCTTGCGAGTCAAATAGCTTTGAGAATAGTACCTAGGATTGAGGATTTCCATAGTTTAAGCTTGTTATTCTTTATACTCTTTAAAAACTCTTCCCCATATAAATCTGTTAAAATTATGCAGTTCCCAAAGAAGAAGTTAAATGGCTAATAAACATGAAATATATTCAGCATTTAAGCAATAAAAAAATTCAAACAAGTAAGACATCTCTCGTTTACTGTCAGATTGGTAAAGATTTAATAGTATTCAGGGGTATCAGGGTACAGTGGTATATTCCTGTAAACCCAGCCACTAGGGAGGCTGAAGCAGGAGGACTGCAAGTTTGAGGCCAGCCTGGTCAGCTTAGTGAGAACCTATCTCAAAATAAAAAATTTAAAGAAGGGCACACACCCTTAATCCTAGCATTGCACCATGAATCAGTCACACACTCTAGATTCAGCCAGCTCTGAAAAAGCCCCACCTATGACCACACGAGGCTTTGGAGGGACATCTAAACCCAAACCATAACATAGGGATTAGAAGGAAATTTAAAATACTGAAAATATATTACAAAAGAATAAAGATCTAAAGTTAATGATCCAAGTTACCACCTTAGGAAACTAGAAAAAGAAGAGAAAAATAAATGCAAAGTAAGCAGCAGAAAAATAAAAATTAGGGCAGAAATCAATGAGATTATATATTGATCAGCTTTCCAGTTGCTAGGACCAAGTACCCAACACTTTCAACTTAAAGGAGGAGAGTAATTTGGTCAAGATTTCAAAAGGTTCAGTCCATGGTCAGGTGGCTCCAGTGCAGACACATCAGGGTGAAATGGCATGTGGAGCAAAAGTACTCACTTCATGCTGTCTGGAAAGCAGAGCAGGGAACAGTGCCAGGGAGGAAGGGGACAGGGACCAGATACAGTATCCAAGGTCACTCTTCCATGACAACCGGATGCACCCGAGGTGTGCTTTACGAATCCCTGAGGCAAGCAATCAAGTTGACAATCTAGTTTAACTGTCACAGATTACAAACTGGAGTACAGAGAAATTAAACTAAAAACTAGTTTTTAGAAAAGATCAATAAAACCAGTAGGCCTCTAGCTAAAATCAGGGAAAAAAGGACATAAATTCCTAATATCAGGAACTACAGAGAGGACCTCTTTATAGATCCCATAGATATTTCAAGATAAGGAGTGCTGTGAACAAGTCTTCACCCACTGATTTGACAACATAGATGAAATGGGGGCCAACTTCTTGAAAGACTCGGTCTGCTAAAATTTGTACAAAGTTTAAAGAATCAAAGAGATTGAACTAAAAATGAATAAACTTCTGAAACAAAGCACCAGACACAGATGGATTCACTAGTGAACTCTGTGAGACATCTAAGGGAGAAGTTATTCCAGTTCTCTACTGTTTTTTAGAATCAGAATACTTTTTTTTTTTTTAAAGACTCACTATGTTGCCCAGGCTGGTCTCAAATTCCTGGGCTCAAGGGATCCTCCCACCTCAGACTGTTCAGTCCTGGGACTACAGGGGTATACCACTAAAGTGACAAGCTGATTTTAGTATTTATATGCAGAGGCAAAAGACTCACAAAAGTAACACAATGTTGAGGGACAGGGACTGGATGAAAGGATTGACTTCCCAACTTTAAGACTTACTGTAAAGCTACAATAATCACAGCACTCTGGTATTAATAAATGAATAGACAAAGGGATTATTGGGACAGAAACAGAACCACATAAACATAGTTAACTGATCTTTGACAAACAAAAACAATGCAACGGAGAAAAGATAGTCTTTTCAAAACACGGTACTGGAACAGCTGAACATCCTTACAAAAACAAATCAACCTGGACATGAACCATATGTCTGTCACAAGGATTAAGTCAAAATAGATTAAGTCAAAATAAATGAAAAATGTAGAACAATAAAACTAAAAATTAACAGGAGAAATTCTAGAGGGCCTTGTATTTAGTCATGATTTGTTAGGTATAACACCAAAGGTATGACCCAAGAAAGACTGATATGGTAGACTCAAAACGGGAAGAGCTAGAGGGCAAACATTTGTGGAAGCCGTATCTAATTAAGGATTCTGATCTGAAATACGCAAGGAGTTCTTAAAATTCAACAATGAAGAAACAACCTAATTTAAAAATGGGCAAGTAGCTAGACAGTCACCAAAGAAGACTTAGAGGTGGAAAATAAGCATATGAAAAGATGTTCAACACCATACGTCATTAGGGAAATGTAGATGGAAACAACAAGATAACACTCTACACCTGTTAGAGGGCCAAGATGAAAAACATTGAAAATATCAAATGCTGGCAAGGATGTGGAGCAGTATGAGCTCTGATTCATTGCTGGTAAGAATGTAGCATGGTGCAGTCACTAGGGGAGGTGGATGGCATTTTAGAATTTTACTTATTTATTTATTTTTTGGTATCGGGGATTGAACTCAGGACCTTGTGCTTGTGAGGCAGGTGGGAGAATCACTGAGCTAAATCCCTGGCCCACATTAAAACTAAACACTCTTGCCATATGATCCAGCAGTCACACTCCTTGGTATTTGCCCAAATAATATGAAAACATAGGTCCACGGTGAAACCTACATACAGATGTTTATAGCACCTTTATTCGTAATTACCCACATTTGGAAGCAGCCAAATGTCCTCTTATTGGTGAGTATGTGGAACATCCTGAGAATAGGATGTTATTCAGCACTAAAAAGAAACGAGCTCTCCAGCCATGAAAAGACCCGGAGGAACATAAAAACAAATATTAAGTGAGAGATACTGAAAAGACTGCAAAAGCGCCTAGAAAGGATACACACTGATTCCGAATGTATGACAGTGTGGACATCTAAAAAAGGAAAAACTATGGAGGCAATAAAAAGATCAGTGGTTGCCAGTGATTGAAAAGAGGAAAGGATGAGTAGGTGCAGCACAGAGCATCTTTGCTGTGTGACACCGCAGCAGTGGGTACGTATCATGGCACATGGTGTAAACCCATGAACTGTACAATGCCCAATGCAGTGTCATCCATGGACTTTGAGTGACAGTGACGTGTCAGTACGGATTCGTCTGTGGTAACAAACGGCCACTGATGGAGCTTCCGCGTGCGTCAGGACGGGGGACTTTCTCAACCTAAAACTGCCCTAAAAGACAAAGTCTTAAGTCATCTTGAAAAGAGATATATATGACATATATAGAGAGAGAAAGTATTTTTTTAAAATATCTTTTCAGTTTTTATTTGAAGAAAATAAAGAATCTTGTCATGTAGTTAATTCCTTTTAATAGGCCATAGAAAGAGAAAATTTGTCAAATAAGGCTACAGCCAAGGGTCAGGTTTTATGATTTATTTCCTTTTTTATATGAATAGCAAAGAACTCTTCCCTAAAGAAAGATTCAGTGATAGTCATTACCAAGTGAATTGCACTTCCAAGACGTTTGTGTTCAAGCACTGCATAGGCTCGTTCCAGTGAATATTCAATTCAGCAAACGTTTCTGAAGGCTTATTAGCTTGGTGTATTGGAAAAGAGCACATCTGAGTTTAAATCTCAGAACTGCCATTTCTGGACAGTACGCCATTTTATAAGTCACCCAGAGCCAGAGTTCCATATACCAGAACATTGAGATGGAAAGGGGCATAGAAATGGAGAGGTCTGTGTGGCTTGCAGCTGTTGTTACATCGGCCCCACCCCAGCCAGGTAACCCCTTGGGTTGTTGGTCACATACCACATGCAGGTGTGACAGGGCCAGTGATGGAGTAACCGTTGGCCCAAGCAGAAACAGTGCATGTGGGTCCCTGGGAAGACTTAGATGGGGCTGTTGGGGTGTAATCGGTGTTGAAATGAAAGCTATTCCTGTCACCTCACTCCAAGTGGAGAAAGCTTTCTTGGGGCTAAAGGCTGTGGCCAAGAATTTTGTCTCTCCTAAAGCAGGAAGGCACTTAGGGTATATCAATCCCATAACAGGTGTGCTGAATGTTTGCGGAATGAACAAAAGTACTTCTCCCTTCTAAAAGAAGGTGCTGTTTCAGGCAGCTGTGAGTTTATTTAATTACCTAAGAGACATGGCGTTACTTTGTTGTCCAGGTTGGTTTTGGACTAAAAGTGGGTTCAAGTTATCCTGCCTTAGTCTCCTGCTACAGGTACATGTCACTGCTCCTGGCCCAGTAATTTTTTTTCAGGGCTGGTGATTGAACCCCGGTCCGTTGCACTGAGCTACATCCCCAGCCATTCTTATTTTGAGATAGGGTCTTGCTAAGCTGCCCAAGTGGGGGCTTGGGCTTGGGATTCTCCTGTCTCAGCCTCCCAGAGTGCTGGTGTTATAGTTGTGCCACCACACCTGGCAGAAATTGCATATTTTATTTTATTTATTATTTAAAACATTTTTTTTGGTACTGGGGATAGAACTTGGGTCCTTGCACCTGCAAGGTAGGCAGTGGAACCACTGAGCTAAATCCCCAGCCCAGCTGTATATTTTACAGAACGAGTCTCTGTCTTTTAAAAACAATGACCATTCTATCCCCAGTAACAAAAAACAAAAACAAAAAACAATGACTGAGGTTTTAATCTAACAGTTTTTAGCCCAGCTAAAATTTTAATGCTAGATTTAATAAGCTTTGGAGACATTTTCAGATTGGCCATTAAAGATTATTGGGAAAGAAGAGAGAGTCGGATTTGGTATAGCAAGAAGCACAGGCAATGGGAGAGCGGGAAGGAGAATGTAGCTGCCTTGACGGGTGACTGAAACTTACGGAAGTCCCAGTGCTCGCGAGCGCAAGGTCCCAAGTATGATCCCTGGAACCGAAACACAAAGCAAACAAAAGTGGTCCCAGTGGAGTGTGCAGAGAGAAGAGCCTTAAAACAGAAGAGTCCCGTGTCCCGCAGTCCAGTGGACGGGAGCCCTCTGCGGCGCACAGCTCCCAGGCCCACGTGAGTAGGGCTGTCACAAGGTCTAGTCTGAGGCTGGCCGACCAGTCGCTCAGTGTTCATGAAAGTAGGACTTTGCCCTGTCTGCATCAAGTGCCCTCTCCTGCCCAGTGAGATGCCTGTCCCGCTCTGCAAGGCTTCAGTCCACCACCCTCCTCCTACCCTCTGCACATTTCCAGGACAGCTGAGTGCAAGCCGATGGACTCGACGATCCAAACAGCACAGTTCCAGAGTGGAGGTCTCCGTCACGTCCACCGTACAGATGAGAGCACTGTGGGCCAGCGCAATCAGAGAACCTGTCCAGGACTGTGACTTTGGCGGCTCCGAGACCCACATTCTTCCACATGACCAGGCTAACTTTTCTACTGCACTGACCTCAGTGAGAAAGAAGTCTGTATGGCCAGATGGACCCAGAGGCTGCTGATTATTTGAGAAAGGCTCTGCCAGAATGGAAGGAGAAGGGTGGGCATCTGGCCCTTTATGTTAGCGAGACCTGTGCAAAGTTGGCAAGCCTCCGGAGGACCGGTATGTGGCCCTGCTTTTAATTCCTCTTAAACCTTACACGCTGACATCATCTTTGTTCCTCACTGAGGCTACGGACTCTTCCAGGGCAGGCATTCCTACATCTGCGTGTGCCATGCCTGTATCCTTGTTAATTAGTGCTTCTATAGAACTTCTAAACGTGGGGGTGGGGACGGGCTGTTAGGGTATGGAAAGCTGAGTAATACAATATAGAAGATTGTTTACCTCTTCATTGTAAGATGTAATAGTCACAAACATTCCCAAACCAGGAGCAGCTTCGAGGAAATCATGTCTGTCTATGTCCCACTGCTGTATCTTGAAAGTCCCTATTTCAAAAATATAATGTTTATTTTAAAATGTGGAAAACAGTAATAGGCAATTGCAGCTAACTTACATAAATTTTATCTTTCTCAATTTGTTTACATCACTAAATACAGTTAGTTTGAATAGATTTCGCTGCTATTAGATTTCCGGAAAAGCAGGGTACTGGACTATGGAGGACAACTGGAGGTCTGGTCTAGTTCTGAGTCTTGCCGACTGGGTGACTTGATATACTCCTGCACTGCACAGCCTTGGTTCCCTAGTAATAAAAGTACCTCAGCGTGCTGAGGACTGATACATAGGAAAGATTTCCACCTATAATGTAAACTCCACGTAGGCCAGGATTGAGACAAATGCTTCCTGGACTCTTCCAACCTCCCCTGGTAGTCTTCCTGCCTTGACTGTCTTGCTTCCATACACTTCCAGCAGAATTCCTTCCAGACTCACAGGTACAGTTGTGTTGGACTTTTTGTTTGATCGCCTCCAGAGACTCCTGAGGCGCCACACTGACGGCCCTCAGTAAGAGGTAGCTACCATAGAGCTTGACTCTGTTTTACCATACCTTGACAGGTATGGTGAGAAGGGAAAATAGCAACATGTGCTGAGTCTTTTGTTCCAGGTACCATACTGAGTGTCTAATATGGATTGTCTCATTTAATTCATTAAAATGTTTTCGAGGAAAGCATCCATTTATTCACCCAGTAATTTGACAAATATATAATGTCCACCTTCCACAGAACACTTCTGTGCTGAGGACAGAGATGACAAAATAGGCAATGTCCTTTAGTTCCATGGGGCCTTCATATAGACAGATACAGAAAATAAGGAAACATATATATAATATGAAAGGTGTTAAATGCACTAAGAAAAAGCAAGTCCCTGGGAGGGGAAGTCAGACAAGGCTCCTTGACCTCTGGGGAAAGACCTGGGGAATGGAAGAGTGAAATATATATATAT